TTTTTTTTTTTTTTTTTTTTTTTTTTTTTCTCTCTCCTCTCTCCTCAGAAGGTGTACCGTTACAAATAGTGTCATGTAGATAATGGAGAATTCATTTGACTGCCGCCCAATATATAGAAGTCAGGGAGGACATGAACTGACACACTCTATTGACACAGAAGGATATATCAGGACGTGTCAGAGACAATAGAGAGCACCAACGATACTCCGATAGTGAGTAGTATCCTCAGGCGAGAGCTTTTCAACTTCATCCAATAACAACTTCTCACTAGGAAGCATAAGTGTGGGAACACGTTTGGAGGTGAGCATATTGGTTTTGGACAATAAATCTTGAATGTATTTATGTTGTGTCAGAACAAGTATATTGGAAGTATGGCGGACCTCAATCCCAAGAAAATAACTCAAAATGCCAAGATCTTTGACGGCAAAATCATCCAGAGAGACATAAGCCTTTGAAGGTGTAAAATCCAGCTATAATAGTTTGGAGCTAAGGCGAGAAAACTAGGCACGCGGAGCTTGTTTAAGGCCATAAAGTGACTTATCCAACTTGCAGAGATAACCAGGACGTTGAGAGTCCACAAATCCAGGGGGCTGCTTCATATAAACATCTTCATTAGGAAAGCCATGAAGAAAAGCATTTTGAATACCAATCTGCCGAATAGCCCAACCACGAGAAATAGCAAGAGATAATAAGAGTCGAATGGTAGTGGGCTTAACAACTGGACTAAAGGTATCATCATAATCAAAGTCATACTGCTGTTTAAACCCTTTAGCAACCAGGCGTGCTTTGTAGCAATCAATAGAGTCATCTAGCTTTTTGCTTGAGTTTGAAAACTCATTTGCAATCAATAACGTTAAGACCAGCACAAGGAGGAACTAAGTGTCATGTCTTATTTTTTAGAAGTATCTGAAATTCATCATTCATTGTCTGACGCTAGAGGGGATGCTCCACAGCAGTAATATGTGAAGTAGGTTCAGAGGCAGAAGACCGAACTACAGAATATATTACTGTTCCATCTGTACGCACCTTGAGTTTCTTGATATTGTGCTTCAATCGAGTACCATACAGATGAGTAGCAGGGGCAGGATCCACAATTGAGGGGACAGCTGTACCAGCTGTTGCAGGGGAGCAGTCAGTGCTACAAGAGTCGGTTGACCAGCGGCTACGGATCCGACCGGACATTGTGAAATATCATCTGCTGGCAGAGGATCCGAGGCCGCAATCATTGGCGAAACATCCAACGCCGATTTGCACAACAGCGACGCGGAGGATTGCTGCGGCAATTTCGAAGTTGATGTGGGCACAAGATTTTTTGCATCCAAAGAGTTAGTAGGCACAGATATATGCTTATGATCATTATCCAAATTAGTACTGCTGCTACCCAAATGCAAGGTGCACAAATCAAGGGCATTGTGCGTCGGCGGCAAGGTTGGGGAAGAATTAGTTGGGGCTCTCTTGAATGGAAAAACATTCTCATCAAATATGACGTCTCTAGAAATACAGACACGACCAGAATCGGTGTCAAGACACTTATACCCTTTATGTAAAGAAACTGTAGCCTAGAAAGACACATTCCTTGGATCGAAAAGAGAGCTTTTGTTTGTTATAAAGGCGAAGTTGAGGCCAATAAGTACACCTAAAAACTTTTAATAAGGAGTAATTTGGTAGGGTATGAAAAAGATGTTCTAGGGGCATTTGTTATCAATGACACGAGTAGGAAGACGATTGATGAGATATGTGGCTATAAGAAACGCGTCATCCCAAAATATAATAGGTACGTTAGCATGAGCTAGAAGGGCTATGCCAGTTTCAACAATATGACGGTGCTTGCATTCAACAGACCCATTTTGTTGATGCGTGTGAGGGCACGAAACACGATGAGTGATTCCAAGGGAACAAAAGAATGTGTTATGAATTTTTTGATATTCTCCACCCCAATCAGACTAGACACACTTGATTTTGGTATCTAGGAGGCGCTCAACATGAGCTTGGAGCTGCAAAAGTATACGAGGAGCTTCTGTACGATCATGCATCAAATAGATCCACGAAAATTTACTGAAATTATCAATGAAGCTAATATAATATTTAAAACCCCCAACAGATGGAGGTGCAGGGCCCCAAACATCCGAAAAAATTAGTTCCAAAGATGATGAAGACCTATGAGAAGAACTAGTATATGGTAACTGATAACTTTTTGCTGACTGACACGCATTACAAACTCACAAAGGTGACTCACTAGCACAAGAAATATTATTGAGACGCAAAATTGACTTTACTACTTGAGATGAAGAATGTCTAAGATGTGCATCCCATTGGGCGTTAGTAGTAGATTTGCTCACTAAGGCATGCTTGAGATCATCGACATCAGATGGCTTAATAGGATAGAGACCAGACTCACACCTCTCGTTTAGAAGACTTTTCCTCGACCGTTGATCCTTAATAGAAAAATGACAAGGATGGTGTTCAAAAAATACGTCATTATCACGAGAAAATTTATGAATGGAAAGAAGATGTTTGGAAATTTCAGGCACATGCAAAATATTACGCAATATAAGAGGACGAGCAACAGTATTAATTAAAGAATGACCAGTATGCAAAATACACAAACCTGCTCCATTGCCGACTTGAACTTGTTTACCTCCATGATAGCGTTCACGCACAGCGAGACGATCCAAGTCACTGGTGATATGATCAGTGGCGCTTGTGTCGCTGTACCAATTTGGATCAATCTTGTCAGAGGAAGTAGCCGCCAGTGCCGCAAAAGGAACAGAAGGAGGTTCATCTTGATCGGACTCATCCATCCTATGCTAGCAGCAAACAACGGTATGCCCCACTTTGCCGCAAATCTGGGAGGAAGGACGAGCAGAAGGGTCACGATGATCACCAACAGGACGAGAAGGCACACCACCTTGAGAACGGTCACAACCACGATCCCTACGCCCATGATTCTTCTGCTGACCACCACGACCAGCATAATTGGTAGAAGGTCAGGATTTAACTGAAGTTCAGCCTGATATTGTAGTTGGCGAGCTTCAAACGCCATTAGATGTGCAAACACATCATCAAGCGTGAGGGCTTCACTTTTGATAGTCACCGAAGTGATGAAGGGATCATAGTCAGGGCTAAGTGTTAGGATCGCACAACAACGCACACGCTCGATCTAGATGAACACAAAAAAATAGGATAGAAAAAAGTGCAAGGAGAACTCTGGCTAAAAGGATTATTTTTTGATTGATGACTTCACGTATGTACAGTAAGAGAGAATTACAGAGACTAGAAAGTACATGTAACGACCCTAAATTTTCACATATCTAGAGTTGCCACTAACGTCTCATGCTCATCTATAATGCAGAAATATAACTCTTACATGAACATCATTTATAATGTAAACTTCGAAAAACGTTTAAAACAACTTCTTCTCTGGAAAACACAATCATGGTCTGACGTGTTTAAATACAAAATACTAAAACTTTAGAGATAATAAAAACAAATACAAAATAATTTAAAACAATGGAATGCAAAAGAACCTATTCTAACTTAAAACTAAGAATTTAAATATGAGTCTACCCTATGCACGTGCCACAGTCTCTACTCGCGATGTCGCCGTCCTCCGTACAAGTGCACCTTGCCTTTAGCTGAAAAATGATGTGGCACACGGCCTGAGTATTCAAAGAATACTCAGTAAGTGGCCCCACTATAGGGGCCATGTAAATGCAAACATATGCAATCATGATTTAGGGACCTATCTCTAATAATCTTAGGGGTGGCCTCCAGTTTCGGACAAATTGGATGTGTAGTACTTCCCTACACACGACTCACACGTGCGAGTGTGAATCCCCAGGGCGCTCGCACACCCCCTGGACCCTCTAGTCAAGCTAATCTATAGTGACGTCCGGAGGTCAGCGGAACCCCATAGTGTCATGCGCCTCATGAACACCCTCATCTATGTGCGTTCGCACCTGTGCGCATTCGCGTTCATCATATGGTGCGCATCCACCCTCATCATCTCTAGGGGAAGTAGCCTTATGCTTATGAACATACAATATGCACGAGGTTCCTCTAAATCCATCATAATGTCTCTTCTGACACAACCCTCTAGTCTCATCTCTTTGTTACTTTAGACACATACTCGTTGATATTTGTATTAATATCATTTTCATGCTCTTAGGGTTGTGTCCTATGTCGATCTAACGACATGATGCAATATGGTACTCATCATCATATAGCATGCTCAATATGAAAAACATCATCATATTAAGATAAACGTCATGCAATCATCATACTCATCATATTGCCACATAGTGCATCAAACATATCAAGTACGTCATTCATCAAAATATATATATACTGCACACATCATCAAGTATTGTAACCCACACATCATCATAACTCATACATCATCATAACTCATATACCGCATCGTACGACATAGTTCATACATCATCATAACTCATACAATTTTTAGTCTATCTTATAGTAAGACCACTTACCTGATTAGCTTATACGGGTGTCACCAATTTATCCTTAATGTAAGTTCGATTTTTTCCTTTGTATCCAAGCCAACCTATATGAATCCATGGCATCAATTTCATGTTCAATTCTCTAACTCTTACAATGGTTCATGTGCTAAAATTCATGCTAGCATTAAAGACTTTGCATGGATAAAGTCTTGGAACGTCGTAATATACATCTAAGTATATATACATATTATATATATATATATTCTATTTATATTAAGATTTCATTTTGTATTTTTATTTCGACTACTTTCTTGTCTTCTAATATTCTTTCTGTTCTCTGCTTTTTCTCTCAATTTTTGTTAAAAACATATTCTTGACCAATTTTTAATCGATTCTTACTTAATCATATTATTGGTCAATTCCGATCGATTTTTACCCCCAACTCTTCCCTCTCATTTTTCTCTTTCTCCGTATTTTTTTTCTTTTGATTTTGTATTTTGGCCTTCTCTGTATTCTCTCCTTTTGTTCTTTCCTGCTCTCTTTATTAATTTTTTTCTCTACCTTCTCTGTATTTTCTTTTGAGTTCTTTCTTACTCTCTTTATTTATTTATTTTTTCTTTTTCTGCATTTTTTCTTTTCTTTCATTCCTTCTGATTTTAGTACAGTATTTGGCCTCGTATCTATATATATATCTATATATTTATATATATATATATATATATATTCCTTTTGATTCGGTTTTAATTTAAATTCACAGATATCACAATAATTTTTTCTTCCCAAATCTTTCCTTTCTTATTTACTTGTTAATTTAATTTCTTTTAAACATAATCTTTTCTTTCTATACTGTATTTACTTCTGATCTTCCATTTTCTAACTCTGTTCTGTATTTTTTTTTATGGACAGATATTAGCCTCACTCATAGTTAATTTTCTATAATCTGATAACCAAAATCTAAATAAATGGGTAGGAACGAGAGATTTGATTCTGATGATTAATTAGACAAAGGGAAGGAAATGAAAAAGAGATCTGAAAGATAACTTACCGTAATAACAAAGCTAGATCTCTCTCTACTAATTAAATCTCTAGCTCTCCTTGTAAATCTCTCTCCAATAATTAAATCTCTAGCTCTCCTAGTAAATCTGGTTGTTGGTATTTTTTATTTATTTATTATAGAAGTTGGTTGAGGAGAGATAGTTGGGAGAGGAAGAGGGGTCAGAGAAGAGTAGTTTAGGGAAAATTATTATTTTAATTATTATTTATTTTTTTGGGTCATTACCGTACATTTTCAAAGCTCTATCGGACAGGATATATATATGGTTCAATTTACTATATATAGTTTTACCAGATTTAACTATCTACTATATATATATATATAGCTTTACCGGATATAGCTTTACTATATATAGCTTTACCATATATAGCTTTACCGGATATAACCGTTGACCAAGCTATAAATAAGAGAGCAGACTCCGTAACCTAACAATTCTTCCACTTGAAAACTGATCCTACACCATATCAATTAAGGCTTTGCATAACCTTAATTTTCCAACATCAACACATTTTGTCAACATGTCAGCGGGATTCTTTGCACCCTCTATCTTCTCCAAACACATATCGCTTTCTTCCACTAACCTGCGAGTGAAATGGTATCGTCTTCTAATGTGTTTTGTCCTTGAATGATAGACTGGGTTTTTTCACCAACTGTATGGCACTCTGACTATCTGTTTAAAGGATCTTCTTGCACTGCTTCCGGCCTAATTCTTCTAGATAGTCTGTCATCCATATCATCTCCTTTCCAGCTTCAGCTATGGCCACGTACTCAGCTTCAGTAGATGAAAGAGCAACGCATTTCTGAAGCTTGGACATCCAACTTACTGCTGTTCTATCTATAGTGTAGATATATCCAGATGTGCTCTTGTTGGAGTCTACATCTCCACTTAGATCAGCATCCACAAAACCTTGCAGAACTACTTTGTCATTGCCATAACAAAGTGAAGTATTGGATGTACCTCTCAGATATCTCAGAAGCCACTTCACAGCTTCCCAATGTTCTTTCCCTGGAATTGCCATGTACTTGCTAACAATTCCCACTGCATGTGTTATGTCAGGTCTAGTGCAGACCATAACATACATCAAACTCCCAACTGCAAAAGCGTACGGAACTGATGCCATGTACTCACGTTCCTCAACTGTCTTGGGAGATTACCCTTTTGACAATTTAATATGATTTGCCAAGGGGGTAGTCCTTGGTTTAGCGTTATTCATCTTGAATTTGGACAACACATTCTCAATGTACTGCTCTTGGGATAGATTTAATGTGCCAGCAGATCTATCTCAAGAAATTCTCATCCCAAGAATCTGCTTCACTGCACCTAAATCTTTCATCTTAAATACTAAAGACAAGGTTGCCTTCAGGTGGTTTATCTCCCTCATACTTGATCCAACAATTAGTATATCATCCACATACAGGAGTAGAAACACATAAGAATCAGTGTATTTCTTGAGGTAGCAACACTGATCCTTTTCACTCCTGTGGAAACCACTCTTGCACATGAAGGAGTCAAACTTCTTGTACCATTGTCTCGGTGCTTGTTTCAGTCCATACAAGCTTTTATTGAGCTTACACACCATGTGCTCCTTGCCTGAAGCTGCAAACCCTTCTGGTTGTTGCATATAGATCTTCTCATCTAGATCTCCATGTAAAAACGTCATTTTTACATCCATTTGCTCAAGGTGCAAATTCTCCAATGCAACAATACTCAGCAGAATTCGGATAGTAGTTAATTTCACCACTGGAGAAAAGATCTCAGCATAATCAATGCCTTTTCTTTGTGAATATCCTTTAACTACTAACCGAGCCTTAAACCTTCTTCTGCCATCTGGTTCAACCTTGATTCTGAACACCCATTTGTTCAACAGAGTTCTCTTTCCTATAGGTAACTCAGTCAGCACCCACGTATTATTCTTTTCAAGTGAGCTGATCTCATCATCCATGGCTTGCTCCCACTTGGTTGAATCTTCCACTTGTAGGGCTTCATCAAAGGACTCTAGTTCTCCTTCGTCAGTCAGCAACAGATAATGTAATGAGGCTGAATATCTATCTGGTGCTCTGATAGTTCTGGATGATCTTCTCAACACCTGCTCAGGTGCAACTTACTCCACGTCTGGTTCTTCAGCAATAGGATCAGGAGTTTCTTGAGCTTCGGTTGTAACATCACTGCATGAATTTTCCTGCCACTCAAGTTCAACTCTTACTTACTTTGTAGTCTCAGAGTTTATCTTCTCTCTGTCCTTGTACATGACATTTTCATCAAAGGTCACATCACAGTGTCTTAGGA